ACTTTCTCACTACAACATCGCTATCCTCATCTTCATATTTGTCGAGAAGGCCAGCTTCTAATTCGTCTGTTTAAATCAATAAAATCAGATAGATATATTCGAACCTGACCATCTAAGCTCGTTGGATCAAAGAAGAGTACCCACAATCCTTTTCCACTCTGTATGTACACTATTGTCAAGCTAAGAATATAGTAATACATGTGACCACGAAGCTTGAACCGCCTAAGCTCTAGGCCGATATTCTGCTGTAAGCATTGCGTGTTTGGCTTTCGGCGTCCCAGGAAATTAAACTAATTCAAGGTGTACTTTACGATTAATAAAAATGATAGATTTTCCGAAATTGATAGAAGGCTTTAAAAAAATCCCTACTATCGTTTGTAGGAAACGTTGTTAGACTTACATGAAAGCAGAATCGAAGACGGAAAGCGACATGCCAAAGAAGCCTTGGAGATATCACAAAGACACCACTCTCCAAATCACTGCTACCTGCTTTCTAAGTTGAAGTATGTCGAGTCAGCGCTTGCTCGCAGAGAAGGGAATTATGAGAAAGCTAAGGAGTTACTTGATGATTCAGTTGAGGTGAGAGCAAGTAGGAAAAAATGAGGAGTAGTGTAAGTGCCTAGCAGCTGTATGACTGACCGTCGGGGCAAACTGATAACTGCATGGGTGAAATTGGCCCTTGCACGTAACAAGCAATAGCATGAAAGAAAGTTTGAACAAAAATATCCAAAATCACTATCAATAATTACAAGCTATTACACGACTAAACAACTGATAGGACGTAGACTAAAACCCTGGAACTAAACTCAGCCAATCGGAATGCTTCATTGTTGTTCGCCATCACTGTGCCAACATAGGACCTGCACTGATCTTTTTCAAGTATAATGCTCGACTCCGGTATGGAGCATGTCCACCCTGGACCTTTTCCAAACGGAGATTGCTGCAGCGCTCGATCCGTATTGTCAAGGTGAAGCCCGGCTAGGGGGGACCCCCATACAAAAAGGACCTGGGTGATCTTCCCACCTTATCGGGGTTAAAAAAGAGTTTTTTGCCTGAGGTCTNTCCAGCTAGAGGTGATATCAGAATCTAAAGCCATTGAAGCTTACTAACTTGACCCTGTCACTAAACATTTCTTTTCCAAAATACTTGATTTTAAAGCCGACAGGTCACAGTTTCTCAGCCAAATTCTGTTTATTTTAATTAATTATGCTCTCTGAACTTCGATCTGGCATGGGCACAGTCGTTTATTGCCAAAATCACATAAACAAGGATGTACGTGTGTTGTAAATGACACCGGCTTTCATTCAAATTGAGACAAACTTGAAAAAAGGCCCGTCGATGTTTTCCAAGTCCACCCACATGCAATCATCTTCTCCAACGCTTCCCATCCATGCAGCCATTTTGCATCTTTTTATTTCTTCTGCGGTTTCCAGTCGTTATTGTGTTATATCAATTGACTCTATGATCAATATCAGTTCTGAAATTGCGGCCAACAGTTGTGTGACCTAGCTCCCTTTAACTTTGCGCAACAAAACTTTCCTTTATATTTCAAAAGGAATAGAACCATCGACAGAAGCTCTCAGGATAGCCACAGAAAAACGTTGGCGGGAATATGAAGACGTGGCATCACAGAGGATACAGCTGTGCCAGCAACAACTGACCAGGAGGCCCACTGTTGGCATTCCACGTCGCCAGTGGAGACAACGGAGAGAGACAATGGTGTAATCAACAACGATTATATCAGAAAACCAATCAGTGTAATTTTAAGTTCAGAAAAGTTACATTCAATGCTTGCACTCTAATTTTCTAATTGTAGAGTGCATATATTTATTTGTGAGATTTCTAAGACAAGACTGAGCGTTTAAAGTTGCATGCGAGACTCAAACCAGTGTATACAAATTTCAGG